TCTGTTGGAGTAATTGGAGTGACTGATTTACACTGATCGGCCACTTTATTAGGTATAGTTTGCTGTTACTGGATGGATCCATCCCTTCATGTTGTTTAAGACCCTACTACCCAAATGTTGCATCAGAAAATTAGACTCATCAGACCAGGAAACACTTTTCCCATCTTATTGTTCAGTTTTGGTGAGCCCCTGTGAACTGGGGCCTCAGTTTCTGTCTCTTAGCTGACAGCAGTGGCACCTGTACCTGGTTTGGTCTTCTGCTGCTGTAGTCTGCCTGCTCCTGAATGCATGTTGTGTGTTCAGAGATGCTATTCTGCATACCTTGGTTGTAACACGTGAGTTCTCTGTAAATTCTGAATGTGCTAACTGTCTACAAGAGTGAGAATCATTAAGTTTTGTTTTCTGCTTTTGTCTTTAAAGTGCAGCACTTACTTGAGATGAACACCTCTGCCTGTTAGCAGCATTATCTCTGATATTGGCTTTGTTTTTGTCTGCAGAGTTCACAGTGAAGTCTGTTCTGCCTGCGATATCGCCACTCAGAGGATGTTTAGAGGAGGAAGGACCGAGTACATCCGCTCACCCACCAAGCAGGGGCTCCAGTTCATTCTGGCCTTTGATAATCCGTCCGTATCGGTGAGAAGCACAAACCCTGTGAGAAAGTTCTCCCGCTGAATGGGAACAGAACTGTTGGATTTTTGTAGCTTGGATTCAGAATGTGTTTATTTTTTGGGGTTTGCAGCGGGAAGCGAAGCAGGAGCTGTTCAGAGAAGCTGTTGATGCCTACTCGGCTCTGACTGAAGCGGTAAGTGTTAAATAAATGTTAAAACATTTATCTCAAAGCTGCTGATTAACTGATTCAAAAACACTCAAACAAGAGTTTCATTTCTCTTTTGTTCAGGCACTTAATGGACACGGCATTGACCGCCACCTGCTGGGGCTCAAGCTGCAGGCCATCGAGGAGGGCATGAGCATTCCCAAAATCTTCATGGACACGGCTTACGGGCTAGCAACACACTTTAAACTCCGGACAGGACAGGTGTGTGTGTGTGTGTCTTTGTTCGAGGTGTTATTTACACTGTTGCTCCGAAGGAAATGGGTATTTATTTGTTGCGGGGTTTTTTTGTTTGTTTTTTTTGTTTTTTTGTCAAATGATAGTGGCTATATGAGAGGGAATTTTCTACCAGATAATCTCCTGTGAAGTTCCTGTGAATTTCTTGCAGCACACGCATACATGGATGCTTGGAGTTTCCTCAAAATGAATCTGTTTCTCTTCCTCATTTTAGGTGTTGACAGTCAGATGTGTGGAATTTTTGGAAGTGTTTTTTTTTGTTTTTGTTTTTTTTTGCCCCGGGGTCAGCTCCTGATTGTTTGTGGGTTTTTTCTGGCATGCCTTAGTTTTCAAATGACAGTATATATCAAAGCATTTGTACAGTATAGCTGAATGTTCCAGATTCGCACAGTTTTAAAGGGGATCTGTGCTGCTTGGTTGAACTCAACGATGTAGTTGTTTTGTTTCTCCTTATCTTTGACAAAGTTGTGTTGTCTCATGAGTGTGATTCAGGAAAAAATACCCAACTGGCTGTTGAGATAATGACAAGTTTCCAGTTAGCAGCTATGATCACCGGTTATGTGGATTTTGACCAGTTGGAGCATAAATTGTGATGGCAAATTTTCATTTAATTTTAGTCATGAAGGAGGTAGTTGATGATAACTGTGATGAATGTTATTGGTCAACAAAGTTAACACGGCCCAGCTCGCATTGAAATGTAGGTGCTCGTATTTGATGTTTTATGAGCAATTAAAAACACTGTAGATATGAAATGAACAGCAGAATTGAGCTCTTGGCATCTGTACAGATCATGTGATATAACTGGAAGCTCTAGATCAGCTGTCTGGTGAGCCTTAGTGTTCTCGTGATGAAGAGTGAACTTTGAGACTCAGATTTGAGGATTTGTGTGTTTTTAATGACGTGTGCCCAGCTTTAAGGCCCAGTTCCATTATTGATCTCCCTCCTGTCTTGTCTCTTCAGATGCCTGCAAACAACACGGACAGCGTGATGTGTTTCGGTCCTCTCGTTCCTGACGGCTACGCCGTCTGTTACAACCCTCAGGCAGACCACATCCACTTCTCCATCACGGCCTTTAACTGCTGCGAGGACACTAACGCAGAGAGACTCGCTCGCACTTTGAGGGACACCATGTGTCATCTGCAGGAGATGTTGCAGCCTACTGTGTAGAGCTGCTGCTACAGCGTCCAGCAGCAAGATACCAAACATTGTCTCTAAAGAATATTTTGTACGACTTTTGTAGGGGTGCTTTTTTTCTTTTTTTTGGGGGGGGTGTATGCTTGCTACTCACGCTTCACTCGAGCATTTAATTGTGTGAGAGCCTGGAAAAGATCTCTGCAGCTCTCGGGTGCTTTTGTTGCTTCTTTAAAGTTTGGGTGAAGCGATAAATCTTTTTCTAAGCTGTCAAATTTGCATCGTCATCGTTGCATTTCGAAGCATCAAATTCCACAGCGTCTCTCGATGAAAGCGAAACGACTCAATGTGACACTCCAGCATTAACCGGAAACGTCTACGCGTGCACTCCTTTGTACAACTTGTGAGATGACCCGTGTCCTTCAACCTTTCACATTTCACTTTTTCATCAGAATTAATGGGAAAGTTGGATTTTTTTATTTTGATTTTTTTATAGGTGAAAAAGGTGGTTTGAATGGACCAGAGGAGAGGAATTATTGAGGGTGATGTGGTGTTTTTGTGTCTGAACTCGACCTGATCGTGAGATGAATTTTGAATGAGCATAATTTTTGTTGTTTGTTTGTTTATTTGGAGGATCTTGTTCTGCACTCAACCTGCAGGACTGGTTAATAAAGCCTGTGCTCACATAATTTCTCACTCAAATTATTTTGTCCATGTTAAAGAAAGTATGAGAGTGAGGATTTCCATTAAAAATCTGACACTTTTTCAGCAAAGTGGCATCACAGAATCGCAGTTTTTCATCCAATCTGATTTCTGCTCCAGTGCGCCCCCTCCAATGTTCAAATCTGGACACAATGAGATCTCAACTTTTCAAACCTCATCAGCAGAGCATCTGAGCTGCCTACTTTATGAAAGGTACAATAAATAACTATAGTGTATGCAACCCGTCACAGCAGACCACTACCTGATGAATAACAGGAAAAGCTGACCCTTCAGTCTAGGCTAAAGGGAGGTAGTTTGCTGACGTGGTTCTCCTTAGTGGTAAGGGTCACTGCAAATCAATACAACATTATCTGGAGTGATAAGTTTATCTCATTGTGATGTGAGTGTTTTCTACAAGGATGATGGTACTCCTGGCCAGTGTCAGGGGGGAAGGGGTCTGTGGCCGTATAATAGATGTTTGAAATTAAAATTAAAGTAGAAAGACCTGTCAAAGCGGCATGCCATAAGTGATCCTGCACAATTAATAAAGCTGCTCAGTGGGTGGCCTGTACAGGCTGCACAATTTTAAGGTAATGAAACCTGCTTTAAATCACAGAATTATATGCATATAAATGGTACGCTCAGAAATACAGATCCAAGTATAAAAGTGCAAAAAAATATTTGGGAATAATGGGAAACATGAAGTTGCAGAGGGGATACCGCAACCTTTTTGAACAGGCCTGGACTAATGAGGCTTTTCCATAACGCCAAAGCTTGGAAGTCACTGAATGGGTTGAAAAGTATGAAAATGATCTGAGTCACCAGCTCTTAATCCAGCTGAGCACTTTTTGAGGATTTGGACTGGCTTTGTGGAGAGTTGTATGAGAAGTGGTCATCGTCCCTCCACACTGCATTAGAGTCTGTCAAGCAGCACTGAAGATGAAGCTGTATGTGTGGCCTAACATCCAGATTATTCCTCTTTATCTATTTCTATTTATGCTTATGTTGTGACTGAGATTTATGTCAAAGGTCAGACTGAATAAACATGCCTGTAAACTGCAGCTTGACTGACTGTCAGAGGAATGCAACAGTAAAATTGTAATTTCAGTTTACCACTGAGTATGCACCAAAGGAGCAAACACCATTGAAAGAGGGAACTGCTTACATCATATTATTATGGCTCTCATGATCAGTAGTTTTATAGTTACATAAAGTGAAACATTTTCCCAGTTTTAACTTCGTATTAACTACCAAAGTTCTTATTTGGTTCGGGTTTTTTGTAAGTTTCTGTAAAAATAAAACAAAAAAGTTGACAAAATGTATTAAACTTTTTTAGTGAAATGCTTATAAAACATTATTTAAAAAATAAAACTTATTTAAAACTTGTTTTCCCTGTGCCTTATTTTTTATAATACAATATTGATAAAGGCAAACGGTGTCTGAGATCGATAGATTGGTGGACAGAAGGCCATGCTAAGGGACAGCGCATGAACAACCCTTGAGCACCAGATCCATAGAGGCAGGGGTCAAGCTAAAGACTGATAAGGTGCCCTGGAGACTATCAAACGTATAGTTGCAGAAGGTTAGAAGCAATTGGACCCGTGTAAGTTGAGAGGCACAACCAGGTGGCTGGGACAGCGTACAGGAACATCTGTCCATATACTGACTAGAATTCCCTGATGGGAAACACCACCAAGGTGATTGAAAACAACAGGGCTGAGGTCCTGTGGGACCTTGAGTTCTAGACATACAAGCAGCTGCTGGCTAACTAACCCGATATGCTGATGGCTGACAAGGAGCAGAAGACCGTATTTGCATTTTATTATAACATTATTGGCAGCAACAAAAAAATACACTGTGTTAAAAGCATTAAAATATTTCAGTTACACAGCCCAGCATTAAATGAATTTGATAAAAATCAGAGAGACACTGTTAAAGCTGCACATTAAAGAGTAAACAACGCTTGTTATGTTACATACTCGCGTCACGGTGTGTTTATGTTGTATCTGCGCGTGACCCTGTTGGGCAGCGCTCTGCTTCCCGCTGATTGGACGAGCGGAAGCAGGAAATGACGCCAGTAGCGGCCGCTTCACCTGTAATTTAAAACCGGAACAAACGAAAACAAAAAGCAGGGACCAGCTGTGGAGTGTGTCTGCTTTCCCTGGAGTGTTTTGAGCACTCTCACGGAGAAGCGCTGGCCGTGAAACAGCATCGTCTAAAGGAGCACAACTGGACCCAGAGTAATGGCACATTAGCAAAAACCCAACAGTTTAATGCTTTTATTTTTTCAACACCTTTTCTCGCCTTTATTACTTTAAGTTGTGATGGAGGGTTTCGGTTGTGCCAGCTTGAGGATGAGGAGGAGGAGAAGCAGCAGCGGGGCAGCCGGGCTGCTGTGGCCGCTGCTCGGTGCGTGTCTCTGGGCTTCGGTGGTCGGGTACAAGCCGGTGATCATCGTGCACGGTTTGTTCGACAGCTCAGGGGATTTTATAAACTTACAGCGGTTCATTAAGAAGGTGAGTGTCGGGGCTAACGGAGAGGCTGATTCAGGGGATAGTTAAGGTGTATTTTACAGTAAATCCTGCAGGCCTTACAGGTTATATCGCCACATGTTTATCAGCAAAACGTGGACCCGACCCGTGCAATATGCATCTGCTGTTAGCGAGCTTTATGGTAAGGGTAATACATTATTTAGTGATTTAATATGAAGTACTTTCTGCTTTATTGATGTAGAAATAAAGCAACGATCATACAATTAAAGGGCTCATTATAGAGAAGTTTTTGTGCTGTAATATAACACCATTCTGATCAGAGATGTATTATTACTGTATTATTACTATCAGTAAGTTACTTTCTAGAGCTGTGTTTGGTTTTCCTATAATTGTTATTAGTTTTATTGGTAATTTATGCTATAATATGGGCGCATATGTCTGGGGTAAGATTAAATATGTTAAAACAGTCTCCTCAGGCTGGCTTTGCTCACAGATGGGGAGAAAATGACAAAGACTAAAGCTTTTAACTTTATTTTAGCGACTTTTTGTAAGTGCATAATATCCTGTCAGTTACTTTACCAAATTGTATTTTTGTTTCTGTTAAATTTCTCATGCCTAGTTTTAATTATTGAGGTTTAGTTAACTGAAATAAACCTGTTCTGGACTGCGAGTGTAGAAGAAAAATAATGTTCTTTATAATAGATACAGGGCAGCACGGTGGTTAGCACTGTTGCCGCACAGCAAGAAGGTCCTGAGTTCAATTCCTCCATCAGGCCGGGGTCTTTCTGTGTGGAGTTTGCATGTTCTCCCCGTGTTTGCGTGGGTTCTCTCCGGGTACTCCGGCTTCCTCCCACCGTCCAAAGACATGCAGCTTGTGGGGATAGGTTAATTGGATAATTTAAATTGTCACTAGGTGTGAATGTGCGAGTGAGTGTGAATGGTTGTCTGTCCCTATGTGTTAGCCCTGCGACAGACTGGCGACCTGTCCAGGGTGTACCCCGCCTTTCGCCCTATGACAGCTGGGATAAGCTCCAGCGACCCTGTAAAGGACAAGCGGAAGCGAATGGATGGATGGATAATAGATACACTAAAGCATCTTGAAGTCTCTCAGTACTCACAATGATAAAGTAATTAATTACTACTAATCTTCTACTTCAACCTCCTCACACACACACACACACACACACCTATAGAAACTGTCAAACTCTCACCAGATGATCTGGCTATGTATGCTTGTTTCTGCCTCAGAAAAAAAGTGTTATCTAGTTATCTCAAAATTTCAACTGATTTTCAAAGAATTTTCTCAATTTTGAGTTATTTTCTGAGAAGTTTGAAGTTAAGAAGTTAAGATTTTGAGATAAAAATGATTTTTTTTTTCTGTGTCGGGAACAAGCTTCCATACCTGGCTGATGTGACTTGTGTGTTGATATTTCTGGAGTTTCTGTGGACATGTCAGGAGAGATTTAAGAGGTTAAAACCAACATTAGGTTCCTCTTTATTTATTTTTTCTGGAAACCACAGAAGAGACCTTTGTGGTTGGCTTAAAATACCGAAAGCGGATCTGAGGCCTTGTTTTTTCTGCTTTAGTTAATTTGCAGTTCAGTGATTCAGAAGCTTAAACATCCTCAAGGATAACTGACAGCACCGGCATCTGAAGTTACTGAGGGCACGTTGCTGATTCTTGTAGCTGTTCAATGCTATAATATGACAAATCGCTTAGACGCTGTGCTTCCTGTGAGTTTTTCCTGTTAAATGATGCGAAACCATCTCCTTCTTCCGTCTCCTGCAGTCTCATCCAGGGACGAACGTGACCGTCATCGACCTGTTTGACAGGGGCGCGAGCCTGGAGCCCATGTGGAAACAGGTGAAGGGATTCAAGGCAGCTATCTACCCAATAATGCAAAACGCAGCAGATGGGGTCCACTTTATCTGCTACTCTCAAGGTGAGCGAGTGCAAATTGCAGTTATGTGTCCATGGTTTCTCTGGCAATCTCGCTGAAGGAGATATCAGAGCGACACTATTAGCTGTGAAGGTTTATTTTCAGGAAGAGTAATGATCTGTTTGCTTTAAGATTTCTGCTTCAGTCAGCTGCTGGAAATTCCTACCACGCAACGCCATATTGTATTTCAATGTAAATTTTCCCCCCGAGGAAGAAGTAATGCAAACGAGATTCTCTTCACTCAGCATGTTTCTGTGAAAAGAGAGCACACCAAAAAGAAAAAAACATGGACTTACTCTGTGTGCTTCTTGATAAAATAGTTTGACTTTATGAGAAAAGCATTATCTTGATTGTCGAACGTTTACTTGTCACCGTTGCATGAGTGGCTCAGTGGTGTAGTGGTTTACACATTCGATCCTGGGAGGAGACGCGCATTTCTTTGGGATTGTGTAAGGAAAGGTGTCTCAAACATGTGGGCCTACCTGCTGTGGTGAGCCAAAAGTAGCTTCTACACCTCGTTCGAGTATTTCTGAACTTGGACATCTTTGTGAGAGGAAATGACAAAATGACACAAAGTCTTAGCGCCACACTGACTAATTTACTGGCTAGCTCGAGTTTGAATTCCACTCTACAGTACAATGAGATGCATGTCAGGTTAACTGGTGAGTCAAAATAGCCCATAGGTGTGAATATGGGTGTGAATGGTTGTGCAACCTGCCCTGGGCGAGCCCCCTCCATGTCTGAATAGGATAAGCCAATCCACGCTCATTAAAACTAATTTGACGCTAGAAATAACACGCATAACCTGGTGGACTAACTGGGAAGACGGGTTCTCCAGACTTCAACCGAAACACATCCACCAAGACAATTGAGCCTAATCAGATGTTCACTGAGAAATCACAGACGATGGAAAAAAACTCCTGGCTGGTGGCAAATGGAGGATCGGGATAGGAGATCAGATCTTTAAAGAATCTGAAACTGTTTAAATTTTGACTCTAGCACAAATGGTCACAACATTCAAGTTAGCTTAAATAAAGTCCACAAAAGGAGCTCATGTAAACATATATAAAATTCTAAATAAAGTACAGAACCTGATGCAAAAAACTGACTGTAACACAATAGAGTGTCTCTATAAAGTAAAATGGTTCAATAAATTCAACAAAGTGAAATAAAACAGACTAAAAATAACTTACTGGATGCAGTGAAATGCACAATAAACGACAATAAAGGTGTTGTTAGATGATATAACAATGATACAAGGTTAATACGTGTTAATACGAGAGAACAGATGTTTCTCTGCTAAACAGATGTGTTGATTTGCAAAGAAATTTTGACTTCCTGAGTTGAATTAGCCTGTCAAAAAAAAATTGAGGTGGGTTGCTAACTCTCTTCAGGTTTGTTTGACGAATTAATGATCAAAAATGGATTTTGCAATCAAAATAACTGGATATAAGACCTTTGAGCACTGGGAAATTGACATACGCACAGTCAGCTGACCAGTTATCTGTCTGTCACTGCTCTGTGAGGCACTTTTTTATCTAAGTGGGTTATATAACATTCAGTGAGAAGGTTGGAAGGTGGACTTGCTCTCTGAAAAGCTACACAAACACGTGTCTTTATTGATGTTCTTACAGGCGGTCTGGTTTGCAGAGGGATCCTCTCCACTCTGTCTGACCACAACGTCCACTCCTTCATCTCCCTGTCCTCACCTCAAGCCGGGCAGTATGGAGGTGGGTCCAACATGAAGAGCTTAGTTCAGCAGCGTGTTTTAAATGCAGTCAGTATTTCTCCTTTGAGAATCTACTAAAACCCTGTTAGTGAACCAGTGTCAATATCTGACAGCTGTAAAATGAAAACTCATGATCTCACGATGAGAAGCTGCCTGATAATTATCAGCAAAATTGTAAATTGGGGAGTAAAAACCCAACAATGAGTTAGTAAGACTGATGTTGTTGGACCTGTTTTTATACGTTATTGTTTTTTTAAGAGAATTTTAGCTCAAAGCCTTACTGCTTCATATCACTCTTGCTGCTCTGGTGACAAGCCAGAGCTCGCAGCTATTTCCAGCATCAGTCAGCAGACTGACACAGTTAGCAGAAAGCTGTGAAGCAATGTGAAGAGAAAGACTGCAGAAATACTTTATCGTGCTGTGGACTGATTTATTCTCTGACTTGGTCATCATTCTCGCTCCTCTTTCTTTCCCCTCAGACACAGACTACTTAAAGTACCTCTTCCCTCAGTTTGTGAAGGCAAACCTCTACCACTTCTGTTACACCGCATTAGGTCAGATGATATCCATCTGCAACTATTGGAACGGTGAGACTCCAGGATTACTTTTTTCTCACAGATTTTGAAGTCGTCAAATTTCTTTTTTTTCCTGCCTTTTCGGACTTTAAAATCATAAACGAGCAGTTAGATATCGTGTTTGCTTTTCACCTGTCTGCAGACCCCCACCACAGAGACCTCTATGTCAACAGCAGTGATTATCTGGCTTTGCTCAACAGTGAGAGACCCAACCCAAATTCAACAGGTCAGAAAAAGAACAGCCAACAATAACCCTTATCAAAAATTACTCAGTGTAACGAGTAATTACTTATATCAAAATGACTCAGTTAAAGTGCACAGTAGTCATGAGGTGTGTTTTATTTGCCATCTGCAGAATGGAAGAAGAACTTCCTCAAAATCAAAAAGCTGGTACTGATTGGAGGACCGGACGATGGAGTCATCACGCCCTGGCAGTCGAGGTGACAGCATCCTCTGATTTTATTTCCCTGAAATCTCACACACATGGATATCTTTAAAAGATTTTTGTACTTTGTGAAAGTTGCAACTAATGAATTTAGATCGAAATTTTACAAAAATAATATATTTAAACTCATTGTGGTGCTAAAATAATTAAAATAAGACTTTAGATCAAACAAGGCTGCATCATATTTTCTGCTTTAAAGGGATTTCAGTTTATTCTTTGTGGTCACAGCTGTCAATGACATCTTGCTTCGTGTAACTGTGGATGATCTGATGACTCTCATGTGATGCTAACACACTGCTTTCATGTCTTTACAGCCAGTTTGGATTTTATGACGACAACGAGACGGTTGTTGAAATGCAGCACCAAGATGTGAGTGAAAGTCAGAATACATCTTTTCATTTATTTCTATCTGTTTTTAGGTCATTTAATTCAATTCGAAATAAGTTATATAACACAAATTCACAATAATAGTCCTCTAAGGGCGCCCTACAATCAGACAATAAGCGAGCACTTGGCAACAGTGGGAAAGGAAAACTCCCTTTTAAGAGGAAGAAACTTTTGGTAAAATCAGGCTTAGGAACCGTGACCAGCTGGGATGAGGGGAAGAAGACAGGAGAAAGACATACTGTGGCAGAGATCTAATGATCAATAAATATATAAAATATAAAAAGGAGAAACCATGATTCTTACCAGAATAAATCATGAGAAACTAAAATGTTTTTCAGTTTAACACAAAAACAAAACAAAAAAAGATCTTTGTTCTGATGTCTTTGACACGTTAATGGGTTTGTCATAAAGCAGAGCCATCTTTTATCTATGTCTCATTTATGGAGGTGCCCCTCCAAGAGCAAGGCATGTGCTTTGTTTCTAAAGAATAGAAAAATACATGCACAACCCCACCCATCTGAGGCGGTAGATTTATTAATGACTCCCTTGTGCTGTGTTTTCTTTTTCCAGCTGTACTTGAGAGATGTTTTCGGGCTGAAGACGCTGGCGGCTCGCGGAGATCTGATCCTCTGCTCTGTTCCCGGCGTTCAGCACGTCTGGTGGCACTCCAACGAGACCGTGTTCCACACATGCATGGAGAAGTGGCTGGTGTAGCACAAAACCTCTTCACAGCACACACATGCAGACGGACACACACAAAAACACACAAAAACGGTCGACCTCTACAGCCTCGGTTATAGTGTCTTCTGTAGGACATGAGCTGATATTTTGGGGGGATTACAGCTGTGAAAGATCATTTGGTGATGTCAGGATTTATTTTAAACTGTCTTTCATTTTCATCTTATTTAACATTTAAGGAGAAAGTTTAACATTAGGGGAAAAGATTTTGTTACCTCTCTCTCTTTTATGTGTACAATACATGTTAGGCTATACCAGAAGCAGGTTAGCTTAGCTTTGCACAAATAATGGAAATAAAGGGAAACATCTAGCCTGCTTGTGTGTGACAAGGACAAAACCAGCACTTTTAACTTCACTCACTAACTTGTTCATTTTATTTGTCTGAATAAAGTAAGCGTAAAATGACATTGGCAACTATTAGTGGTGACTACTAGTGGGTTAAGAAGGTACTGCAGGAAGGCTACAGTCATGATTGACAGATTGATAGATGGATACTTTGTTGATTTGTATTCAAATTTTGTTTTATAATAGCATAATAAAGAGTACAAAATAGTTCAGTCTGCAATAATTAAACAACATAGCTAAAGTAAAAGTGGTAAAAGTATCACAGGTGCCTACTGAGGACCTTATGCTGTGAGATTTCACACATAGACAGTGATTTAAAAAAAACAAAAAACAGAATACAAAATAAAAATGAGGTTAAGGAGAGTAGAAAGTATCACACTGCAGATTGCTTTAATAAATAATATGTACTCTATAAATGTAAGAAACATGTGGAGGAATGGTTAATCTGCAGATATTTCCTGGAGTCCAGCTACCAACATAATGTTGTCAGCATTTTAAAACCCCAAAAATATCACCATCACAATTAGATTTTTGGGTGCATTAACAAAAAAACATTTAACATGTTATTCAGTGGGATTAAGAGTGCTGGTAGGCAGATTTAATGCAATTCATTAATTCATTTTTAATGATAACACAGATCCAGGCTAGTGGCTTTCAGCTGCTATGTTGAGCTAACGCTCTCCATTTATTCCCACTGATGTCACCTTTGCAAACAACGTGAGTCCGGCCCTCACCGTCATACGTAGATGGTATGAAAGATGTACGTTTCTAAGGTTGTTATAACTAAAACTAAACTAAAAATTAAAACTACATATTAATAAAATAAAATGAACTAAAACGAATTAAAAAAATAGAGGAAATGATGATGGACGGAGATGTTTACTGAGACTGTGGATGTCTACATCGATTGAAACTAATAAAAACTAAAACTAACATTTTTAAACAATAAAACCTTCAGAACTGAATTAATTTATCCAACCCTGGAGATACGTACATGTTTTATACTGTCTGCGATGTAGTTTCGGCTTGTCGTGCACGTCTTGTTCTTGTTTGGGTGGGTTGTATCAGTACAGGGATCAGGGATTTCCATACAAATTTTCAAACTGCTTGAAAGGTTAAGATTTTCTGGAGAAACATTTACCATAATCTAACCTGTAGCATTATCTCGACCAAGGCTTGATTCATAAAGGGGGGAAAAAGCACATTTCCCAAAATGTTACACTTCTCCTTCATGTATTTATTTTAAAAAACCCACATTGTTGCTTTTGGAGAAATCCAGCACATCGCTGCCTGTTTGCTGATGGCTGTCAGAAGGGGTTTTAGCTGCTTTTCTGACTTTAAAGGAGCACTCCAACAATTTTTCATTGTACCATTACAAGGGACAAGAGTGCTAGCAGTCATCGTAGCAGAGGATTAAGGATATGTTGAATTTTATTTACAAGTGTGAGTCTAGTTTGTTGTTACGTTCTTCCTGCCTGTTTCATGGCAAACCTCCAGTTTTAATGCGGGCTATGAGGTAAGTGAGCTGTAATTGTCCAGCTGAGCGTATATGAGTGTATCAGACAGTGTGCGTCTGCTCCATCAAACATACCTCAAAGCCGCCACGCAAACACGACAGTGCCTGAGCGACGTTAAGTCGTCTACATGTTGAGACTTACTGCCCCGCTTGTCTCGCGTTGAGTCATTTATATGTTTTTCATTCCTCCATCTTTAACCCCGGTGTCTAATTCAGAGTGAGCCTCCGATCTTATCATCAGTTTATTGTAACTATCATGCAGTGCTTTGGAGCTTTACTCCATCGCTTTTGTAGATGAAGCCTTAATTTTTTCCCCCCTACATGCCTCAGTATTTCATGGCCATTACCAAAGTGCTACGATACACTGCCTTTAGTGACGGTGCTAAAAACAATGATAGGGAGGGGTGGCATTGGGCATAATAAGACTAGAAAGTGGCAGTGATATGTTAGTGTTTACTGGTCCACCGAACCTCCCATCACATTTAGATATCTCAGGCCTTTTAGCAACCTTCATGTTCCTACTTTTCTGTTGTTTAAGGGATTCATTTGTAATACTTTTAATTTATACTTGTCTTATATTTCTCAAAAGGACAAAAAGCGGAGCGTGTATTTGAAATATAAAACAGAAAAGAAACTTAATGGTTAAGGATGAATTGCACATTGTAAAGAGAAGGGATGTTGTTGAGATAGGGATGGTTTTATCTGTGTTCAAGCTACTATGTTAATGTTATTGCATCTGTTGTTCATGTATGCTCGTGCAAAGCCAGAGCTGACCTGACCGCATTAGATGTGGATAGAAGCAATGTCTCACTCTGTTTAGTTTTCTTATTAAACAAAAAATAAATGGGGATATGGACACTTTTTTAAATCCTAAAACATACAGTACTATTTTAACAGTTTCTACCGTGTTTGTGCTATAAATGAACAGGTGTCAAATGCTGTCAGGTCTTCAATAAAAGACAGTGTTGAGCATTGTTTGTGTTTGTGCTTTGTCCTGTCAGTTAACAACACACATAAATAAAGCCAAAACTGGTCTTGTGAACCAGATGATTTTTTCTGTACATTTTGCTTCCAAGGACCCAGACTTTATTGTAATTTTTTAAAGGCTCTTGAACAATAGTTCTCCAGGCTTTCTGAAGGACTTGCAGAGTTTTTCTTTGGACATCGGCTGCTTTTTGACTCATTTGCAATCCAGTCCTTGTACCTGATCATTTCCAGATGAATGTTTTTGTTTGTTTTTTGTTAAGCTGCTTAATCCTGACTTGTGAGTTATTCAAGCACAAAAAAGCACAAAATTTACTGGATGAACCACTGTTATTCTCGCACATAACAGATGAGTCAGTAAAAAAAAAACAATTTCAATTTCTTTTGGGTTCAAATTGTTATCTGTATGGAGGAGGTCAGGAGAGAGGTACTGCAATGAGTGTTTAAAGCAAAGTGTAAAGCCAGTGGAGGCTCTGTCATGGTCTCGGTCTGCTTTTCAGACAGTGGTATTGGGAATCTTGTCAAAATTGATTGAATATGAATACAGAACAGTGTGGTCAAATTTTGATTGTCCATCTGATTTTCAAGAGCTTCATTTTTCAGCATGTCAATGATCCCAAAAAAATCTGCCAGTGCATTAAAAGCATACTTGTTAAAAAAACAAACAAACAAAAAAAAAAACACACACAGTGGAACATTATCAGTCATGGACTGGCCTCCCCAGAGTTTGGACCTCAACATTGAAACATTGTGGGATTCTCCTGACAGAAAACAAAGGCAGCAACAACCAAAGAAGAGCCTTCAAGAAACCTGGAGAAATATTCCTGAAGACTACTTAAAGAAATGACAAGAAAGCTTGTCTAAAAGGGCTTCAGGCTGAGATGAAGAATAAAGGTCGTCATACCAAATACGGACATTTCCAGTTTGTTAAGACTACAAAATGTATTTTTGCCTTACGTACACTCACTCACGCGCGCGCGCGCGCGCGCACACACACACACACACACACACACACACACACACGCATACATATATATACAATTTGCCATTTTACTGAGCAAAATACAAAATATAAATGTAGTGATCACTAGCTGAAGAATATTCTAGAGTACACGACTGAATCAATCGAAATTAATTTAAAACATGTTTTTAAACAGAAAAATAACTAAAACTAAATAATATTAAATATGATGTAATATAACTGCTTGTTTTTACAGCAATCGTGAAAGTTAAAAGGCCAGCAGCAGCTTTATTAATGTATCCTGTTTGGTTTATTGGGATACGTTGAGTTTGTTGTGTTCAGTGACATAAAAAAAAGACTACGTTTCCCATAAGCTTTTGTACGCCGGAAGCAGCCAAACGCCGGACCGGATATCTGTACACGGCGCCCCGAAAAGGCCCTTTTCCGTCTCAGAGAAGTGTGGTACAGAACGGCAGACACAAGTGAGTGAAAATTTTACTTTTTACTTGCTTCATAAATCGTGAAAAAGGGACGGACGCGTATCCAAAATCACCGTGGATTTCCATTGTTCTGGAAATTCGTACAGAAAACTTCAGCTTAGTCGAAATGGCGTTTTTATTCCCTCCGAATGTTTCCGTACCAGCACAACAGCGCTGAGCGTTAGCATGCGACTAGCTCTGTAGCACATGTGGATTCTGCACGTTGAGTAGCGGCTCCGATAGATGTCAAATTCAGAACACTAATTCACAAAAAATGTCTATATTAAACTTAATTTCTTCCCTACTAATTAACTGATGCTGAATTTAAACGCGCACCTACGCCCGTTTATAGACGTTTGTAAGCTTATAATCCGCTGTGGCGCAAGTTTGCTAGTGTTAGCGTGATGCAGGCTTCATCTCCGGCCTCGCTGTACTTGTGACTGTCATTGCTTCGCTAAATCTGACCAAACAGTCACTCAATCTCCTATTAATATGACTAAATGTGCTTCCTATTAAAGTGTCAAATCGTGGGGTTTTCTGCTTTTTGCTGGAAAGCTAACGTCACTTTGTTTTAACGTAACATTGAGTAGCAACTCGGTCAAGCTACAGTAGTTTTCAGGTCATTCATTATACACAGATTCGTTAAATAAAGTCCCATTTATAAGACTTATGTCACATAGAAATGTAATAGAGAGGCCACAGATTTGCAGTAAGGTCCACCTTCACAAACCCAAACTCTTACGTGTAAATGTTGGGGAAAAAAAGACATATTTGTCATTTATAGTCCTGAAATTATAATTTTTAAAACGATGTGCCAGTAATGTTGTGGTGTTTCCTCAGTGACCGATTGGGAGACTGCCCCCGCTGTGGCTGAGACCCCAGAGATCAAGCTCTTCGGCAAGTGGAGCACCGATGATGTCCAGATCAACGACATCTCCCTGCAGGTGAGCGGCAGTGTGAAAGATTCACTGTTGTGCTGTTAAGCGAGGCTAGAGTCACGCCTGGACACTCACCTGTTGTCCAGGTGTGCTACAGTGCTCGCAGAGGAAAAGTCTTTGCTTATTCATTGGCTGTAGTCTAATGTGGCCCAGTCAATCACCAGCTCAGACACAATATCTGCCTCTAACGATGCTGTTTTTCAACTTAAAACAGAAAATGATGGTTAAAGATGTCATTCTTCGCTGCAGGATTATATCGCTGTGAAAGAGAAGTACGCCAAGTACCTGCCACACTCTGGAGGACGTTATGCCGCCAAGCGTTTCCGCAAGGCTCAGTGCCCCATCGTGGAGCGTCTGACCAACTCCATGATGATGCATGGCCGCAACAACGGCAAGAAGCTGATGACCGTTCGCATCGTCAAGCACGCCTTCGAGATCATCCACCTGCTGACTGGAGAGGTACCTTCATAGCACTGCTATAGTGTGTGTCACTATTAAAGAGATTATAATTATAACTACAGAAAATAAATGGTTCCTTATGCTATGAAAAACACTATTGAAAATTACAGAGAACAGGATCTTACTGTGGTATGAGCAGTTTTCAGTAATAACTAAAATATAATTTAGACACGGTGTGCTGAGAAAATGTTTAAAATTTGAATTCTATCTGGGTTTTAAGACAGTATTTCAGCATTGAAAACATTTTTTTAGACAGTTGCTGGATTGTTTATTATTTTTAGTGAGTTTTGCAGTGGTTGTTGCCAAGCAGACAAGGGTCCAGAGTTAATCTGCATATTTAAGGGTAAATGTGATATTGGCTTTAAACTTTGAGTAAGAAAATTGGGAGCAAACACAAGGATTAGCAGCAGATTGGACACCATCTGAAAGCTGACAAAGACTTATGGATCTTTGTCACTACATGTTATGGATTGATTAAAAAAAAAAAAAAAATCTTCTTAACCTTTTTGTTCCCAGAACCCCCTGCAGGTCCTGGTCAATGCCATCATCAACAGTGGACCCCGTGAGGACTCCACCCGTATTGGTCGTGCTGGTACCGTCAGGAGGCAGGCTGTTGACGTGTCACCCCTCCGCAGAGTCAACCAGGTAACAAACGCACAATAATTTATTTTCTACCTCCACGTAATTGTTGATGTCTAATCATGTGACTAGATGACTTTAATGCATCTTTTAGGACATGTAAAGTTTGATGCATGTTCAGTTTTTTTCCTGGTTTGCACATGACCTTTATTACTGTCAGGTCTGCATACAAGAGTGGTTCTCAAGCGGAAAGATCAAAACAGAAAATATGAAGCGAAGCTAAACTGAGAAGTTCAGTTTGGCTTCACTTAGCTGAACATTTTAACCCCTCCTATTAGTGATCGTTAGAAATTGCGAGGTTCGGTCTTTTCTCACCTTTTTGGGCATATAGAATACAGTAAAGGCAGTTAGTCTCTTAGATTGTGGCAGTCTTATTTTTAACAATTGCATTAATAGCCTCTCCAGTGTAAGTAAATAAATACTTGATTATCATCAGTGCCAGTGTCCTTCTGTCAAAAAGGGTAGAAGTACCAAAAAAAATGCTTCCATGCTGTAAAACCTCTGTCCAACACCATCTTCAACAGTTTTAGCATGGAAATAAATTAGAAAAGGTTCACTGTTTTTTCATGTATTTGATGTGTTAAACGAGGCTAGAGTCACGCCTGGACATTACCTGTTGTCTTGGTGTGCTAGAGTGCTCGTAGATTAAAAGTCTTTGCTTATTCATTGGCTGTAGTCTGTCGTGGCCCAGCCAATCACCAACTCAGATACATTTCACTGCTGGCCTGTGGTCATGTCTCTGGAGTTTAACCCGTTTCACCTCACTAACGTGTGCTCTGTCTCGTCTTGCAGGCCATCTGGCTGCTGTGCACGGGAGCAAGAGAAGCTGCTTTCAGGAACATCAAGACCATCGCTGAGTGCCTGGCTGATGAGCTGATCAATGCAGCTAAGGTAACAGACTTAGTGGACTCTGATTACATCCTACCAATTATGTTGGAACCTTTTTAGTGATCAGAGCTGACACATATGAGAAACTGTTCTGAGCCCTGTTAAACTTAAGTTTCTCTCTCTTTGCAGGGTTCATCTAACTCTTATGCAATCAAGAAGAAGGACGAGTTGGAGAGAGTTGCCAAGTCCAACCGTTAAACATGTTCACTTTCTAACAAAACAAATAAATCAAGAAATTTCTGTTGAGTTTGAGTGTTTTATTGGACACCACATACACAAGCCTTTGATTCTGTGATGGAAAGCTGGAGTTCTGAGTTAAACTACAAGGTAAAATTATCTTATTGGTTAGTGCTGTGACAACTTTTCCCTTAATCAAGCTGTAATATTTTAATTTTGGATGGGTGGCACTGGTGATGGCTACTGGTTTACTGGCTCAGTTGGTCAGCACTGTAGCCTCCCCCAAAGGTGCCAGATTTGATACGATTGATTAGCTGGTGTCTTTCAATGCATGTGTTTGTTTTCTGCATAATTGGTCCTAGGTGTGAATGTGGGGTTGCATGTCTGTACTCTCCCTGCGATAGACTGGTGAGCAATCCAAGGTTTCGCTAACAGCTGGGATAGGCTGCTGCCCCACTGAGACTCTGAATTGGACAAGTAGAAAATAAATGAAAAGACTAGATTTACATTTATTTTAGCCTGATGTACCTAAAGAACTGGCAGTTGAATTACACAGGAATAAGAGTACCACTAAAAGTTCGAAGCTGGATTTTAATATTTCTACACTTGGGACAAATTCATACACTGCAAAGCTAAATCAAATCTGAATCAACACCTAGCAGCTACAGATGGTCTGCAATTTAAAAACAGTTAATACCCAAGTACTGAAATGTGGATATGAAAGCTGTACACTGTAGTAAATGTGGGCAAAAAGTCTTAGGTTAGCCAAGAAAACATTTAAAGGGGATTATCACAAGCAGTAATGTTAAGAGACATCAGATTTCTGGAAAGCAGACGTAATGCCCCTTTACTAATCTAGATTACATCAATTTGGTGAGAAAAGTTTAAAAAATAAAAAAAAATGCTGGGCTGAGTGTTGCCTTTGGCTTTTCCTTCACACTTTGGTCTAAAAAGGTATTGAACATCTGCATATATACAGAATGAAACTTGCAGTGAAGACTTTCCTGTGGGGTTACGGTTTTACTTTGGTGGACTGAAAGAGTTGGAACAGTGCAAAACTACAGCTTCATCTAGTGGTTTCATGAGTAGATTTAAGGACATTGTGCAGCGCTGTTCGTTCAGCAGAGGGGGTAGTGGTGCAGTAAATCAGGTGGCTGGTTCTGTCTCAAAATACTGCACATTAGTATCACTACCCCCACCACTGCGAACACCTGCAGATAAATGCTGAGTGGCGTGGGCGTGTTTTCAGAAATATGTATGCTTTCTGTTGACAAGGAGGCAGAGTGAGGACAGAGACGCTCCCAGCTTGGAGGCCTCGCTGCAGGCTGTCGGCAGGAGGGTGTAGTCCTGCAGCTTCTGGAAGGCCTGCAGAGAGGAGAGAGGAAACAGTTCAGTCATTCAGACCTGAGCTAGTTGTTACAGACTACACTGCAGGGAAAACTGAAAGGAAAGGAGGAAGGAAAATTTGCTTCAATGGCTGGAAGTTAGAACACCAGATCTGACTCATGAGTGTCAGTGACTAAGAGTCTTAGATCTACATGACAGTTTTGATGTTTCCTTTTTCTTTAGAGACCAAAACTCTAAAAAAAAAAAAATGTTGATTTATCAAACTCATCTAATGATTTATTGCCACGCTAGCGTTATTTCCATTTGCATTTCCCCTCTGATGAGTTTCTCCATTGTCTGGATAACATTTACATTTCTTGATGTGATTTGTACAGTGTACATTTCCAGCAGCAGGTCAGCAGCATGTGACCTGATGCTGCTTACAAATTTACCTGTTACACTTGATGCAAGTGGAACTTTTTTTGTAGGTCTATGCAGAACCAGCACATGCACCTCTCCTGGTCAAGCTGATGGCAGCAGTGACAGCTGATGAACTGACCCCGCAGCCAAGCTGCATGCTCATCTTCAGCTGTGAAAGCAGCCAGGTGCATATACACACACTGACAAGTGACATCATTTCAGGACAATATGACTTGGCCCGGTTGCACAGTATTCTACTGAAAACAATTAGTGATTCCAATAAAACACCAGCCATCACAAAAATGCACAGATGTGCGTCTCAGATTAAATTGAAGGTTGTGGGAGTGTTCTTTAAGAATTAAGCTGTTTTTTTAATCTGGTGTACAAAGATAATAATCTACAAAGATTGTCGATCCTATTATAAGATGGTTGTATGGGTGGGTTGGTGCACAATATTGGACATTGTGAAATTTTTTAAATGCAAAATACTGACTTGAGGGCAAACTGCTTGAAGGGAAATCATGCAAAAAACAAGTTATCAGTCTTTAAAGGAATTTGTTGCTTTTTCTTTGTGAAGTTTTTCCTCATTGTGAAAAATCAAAGTTTCCAAATGTTCAAATTAACTCCTCTAATTGTAAGTTCGGTTTTAAATCTTGCCTGATATAATTTTTAGCAGTGGCGCACACACAGTTTCACAAAATACAATCATTATTTTACTTCTGATTTATTTAATTTGCCTCAATCCTGAAACAAACTACAGAAGTATCTGAAAATGCTGATTTATTCTCACTATGCTGGACTCAGCTTCTGTCCTGCCACCTACTTACATATTTAACGGGTCAGAGACGGCACCGTGAGCGGGATATCGACTTCACTAGTCTCAAAAACATTTCAGCTCTTGGAACCACAAGCACAACTGTGACCTTCAACTGCAATGTAACGAGTAAAGAAATGTGAAAAAAAGAAATCTGTTCACATCCCAGATCTTCTTTAGAGAACCTTTTTTGTCTAATGATCAGTTTAGAGCGAGTCAGTCACATTTAGGTCTGATTTAGGATTAACAGAGGCACTTGACTTCCAGGTGGTGAAGCAGCACAAGACAGAGGTAACATCTGAATTACAGATGCATTAGGCCTTAAAAGGGATAATCACTAATAACAGACAGATTTATAAATCATAAAAGCACTTAGGTTTAACACACAGGACCAATCACACAAAGGACCGGATGCACAGGGTTTATTACAAAAAACAAAACAAACAACACGAGCTGGGCAGATATCAAATTTCTTATAGGAGCCTGATGGTTGATTTTGATGTGTGATACAATGCATCTGTAGATCTTCTATTATATTGTTGATGCAGTGTGGCTTTGATGTTAATGCTGTTGCATTTCTTTTTATATTTAGATAAAACTAATAAAAAGCTTTGATCACACCAAAGAAGAAGCCATGTATTTCTGTGGTGCAGTGCAAACACATGTGAATCTGCAGCAATACTAGTTATAAATATTTGATCTTGGGCGGTAAGTTTACTTCACTCCGTCTTGAAAGAAGCTGAGATTCTCCCACAGACTGTTATCAGAAACACACAAGCTAATGACTGCTGTTTAAAGGGAACTGGAGCTGATGACCTAGCTTCTTTTATGTGGAGACGGTGGAAAAAAGGAGGGCTAACATCTGAAAACCTGAGTCCAGCTATCATTTGTACTCCTCCCGATGGAAGCTGTTAGCAAATATTTGTGGGTTTATGCAAGCACTCACGCGACCGAGTAAAGCACCGTGAGACCTTAAAGCTCACACTGACAGTATTTAAAGCTGTTGGATGAGCATGCATGCTTATGATTACTGAACATATGATTCAGTGTTTATGTAGCCTAATTAATACAACAAGGAGATAAGAGCCAGAAAAACTGCCAGAGAAGAAGAAAAAAAAAAAAATCTGTCAAACTATAACATAATGAAAATAGCAAATTACAGGAAAACTTATTTATTGCTATTAGCACATACATGAACATGACATTATACTGCAATGATGTGCAGTTTATTAAAAAAAAAAAAAGAAGGAAAAAACCCTCTCTGGTACTCACAGAAACGCTGTCAGGGCATTCGTCTGCTGGTCGGTGCAGCAGGAAGTCCCGTTTGGACAGACCTTTGATGTAAATGCAGTTTGCTGCCAACTCCTCTGGGACGGTGAGCACATCGTAGTGGTGATCAGTCAGCTGTTCCATCATCTGCAGACAAACACGCACATCCAGCATTACACACAGTCGCCGAGCTCCAAGCCAGCACTAATGACATAAACAGATGTGTGCAGTTCAAGTGAGGATGGAGAGATTATATATTTATGACTCATAATGAAAAACAGTATTGACCATAGAGAGATGTTGGGCCCTGCCTAGCACAATGCTTTAAAATCCTTGTCTTAAAAAAGGTTCATTTTAAATGTTGTCATTTCTCTCTTTACATTTCAATAAACTAACTGAAAACCAGCACAAAGGCTTGATCATCACGATACTTAATACAAAGTCCCCAAAAAAATTAACTAAAGAACCCTTTTCATCAAGTCATGTAATCTTCTGGGATATTAATCTGGTCAAAGTAGATGAAGAGTTTGTTAATCAGTTCCAGCTGCTGTTGTTAATGTAATTAACATAAGGTGCACTAGTCAGGCAACAATGAGACAACCCCCCTAAACATGAAGGATGGTCACTCATTTCTTTTCCACTAGTTCTCATCTGGCTAAAGTCAGTGTCACTGAGTTCATGAGGGTGGCATGAGGGCCCAGCATGCTCTACTTGGGCCCTGCCTGGCACTCTGGAGAATGGGCAGGTTCACCCTGAGTACATGTGACAGACATCAAAGGGTCTGGAGAAGATGTGGAGAGCATTCTGCGGCCTGTAACATCATTCAGCATGACTGCTTTCATAGTTGGCCAGGGACTAACAAAAAGGGAGGGATGCACAGACCGGCTGGCAATGGCACTGACTGCCATCAGGTACCAGGATGAAACCCTTGGAAACACTGTCAGACTACGCTGGTGCAATGGGTCCTGGGTTCCTCCTGGTGCACGATAACGCCCAGCCTCATGTAGCGAGTGTGCAGAAAGTTCTTGGAGGAGGAAGGAATTGATATCATGCTTGCACTGAGCCTAATCCAACAGGACACCTCTAGGACATTATGTTTGGGTCTGATGCTGCCAGGTTGCACCTCAGACTTCACCAGGAGCTCAGTGATGCCCTAGGAGGAGATCCTCCAGGACACCATCCATTGTTTCATTAGAAAGCTTACCCAACCTTGTCTGGCCATACTAACTACTGAGTACCATTTTGAGTTGGTATGAAATTATTTCAAAATAGACTAGCTAGCTGCATAATTTTTTCACTTTGACTTTATTTTTTATTTTTTTTTTGGGGGGGGGGGTCTGAATTTAGCTCCCCTGAATAATGCTAATTATTGTAATGATCCATAATTATCATTTCCATTAAATGATGTGGCATAATTTCATTCCAACACATTACCCAATTCATATCGATCTGGCATGACGCCCCGCAGGTGAGATCTAATGTGCTTTCAAAATGTGACTAATTTTTTTAAGTGGTGCATTTACAATTAAAGTTGAAAATGGCAGCTCTAATTTACATCAACCTCTCAGTGTTTTAGGGACACGAGTCATAACGGCATAAACTGATGTGTCAAGTAATTTTTAGCTGTTTTGGTCATTACTGAGGTCAAATTTATTATTGTTTATTATGATTTCTCACAGACTTCTTCCTTGATTAGGTGGAAAGCCATCCTTATCATGTATAGCATCTTGCAGTGCTGTTCATTGCCACTTTGATTTCTTTTCAAAGGTGCAGCTGTCGCAGAGGATTGTGGGTCATTGCTGCTACAAATGTGGCTGGATATAGCAATACATCCAGGTGTTTGTAATCACACTAAATAGTATCATGATGTGGAACCATCCTTTGTTTTCTGACTAAACGTAGTGCCAGGATAAGGGATTTCCAGCTACTGAGACTGATCACCCCTCATATACAGCCGCACAAGCTGTTGCTCACAGCCATTTCTGTTCCTTTTAGGCAGAGCCTCCAACTTGTTTGTTATAAGGTCCCCAGCACAGGTACACAGACATGCTAAATGGAAAGCTATGTAGCCTGTGTAAACAAACTGGCATGAATAGATGAATGTGCAGGGTCAGCTGGCAGGCTGTCACACCTGGATTTCTATAACACAGTCAGCAAGCGGACAAAAACAAAACTTTAATGATTGAAGTTAAATATTATGCTCACTTCCAGCTCCATATTTTTATTCTGTTGTTGTTGTTGTGTGTTCAGAATAATCCCTTTTCATCTAATTTTGGACTTTTAATACGGTCTTGAGTTAATCCAAATAAGCAGGCAAAAATCCTATTTTCATAAAAGCTACAGGGAGTGTTTTCTCCTTGGTATGCGCTTTTCCCTCAATTGCTACAATGCCACAATATTATTAAGGAATTACCCTTTGGGAAACAACACACACATACATACCCGGAGTGTCTTCTTGGCCCCATCACTGTTGCTGAAGATGATGGTATTTGGGCCTCCCATGGAGCAGATGTTTTTCAGTCGGGCTCCATCACAGACGGGGACAGTCGACACGGCAAAGTCCTGAACACATGTGGGGGTGAACGGTTACCAAGCATACTGGAAACTTCTAGAAGTTTGTTTTGTCATCACAGGTGTATCTAATAACATTAAGATTGGCTTTTCACACATCCCAGTAACTGATGCCTCGACTCCAATCGACTCCTAACGTACTCTCACACTATAAAGTGGTTCCATCTCTGCTCTACACACTGTATATGTAAGGGTGATATTTATGAACGAAAGTTAAATGGAGCCAGAGTGACTCCTCTGAAACACAACACTGATGAAATCATCTCCTGGTTTTCCCCAGTCCCCCAGTCGAACACTTAAACCCTCTCATCCGCTGACACCATTTCACACCACACCCCCACACTCCCACACCCAAGGGAAGAGCGAAGAGCAAATTCAACTCCAAAATATGCAAAATATGTGTGCGTGTCAAACAGAAGTGCATCTATAGTTCTTGAAAAGAGTCAATACTAATGAGCAGCTTGAGCCCAGCCCGAGTGAGCACGCTGTGCTGTGCAGCGCTGTGATTATTTGGGCAGTGGAACAACCTCATTCATCAGTGTTTATACACAAGAATTCCCCAAATGCAATTCAGCAAATGGCCACCTGCTCACATTGGCACCTGGGTTTCATATCCGACTGTAATCTTGGCACCGAGGCAATCTTTGTTGTGCAGGCTAAAAATATAAACTCTATATTTATAGTTAGTTGTGTATTGATAATCCTTAGCTGGGCTTTTATGGAGATACACAGACATACAGCGGTCCATACTCAGACACTTTTACTGTAAGGCAAAGATAATAAGATGTAGCAGTTGTATATAAACGCATCAGGATAAAAAAAAATAAAAATAAAAAAAGGGAGTGAGGAAAACATGCTCAGTGCATCATGAGAATTTCCCCCAGCAGCCTGAGCTATAGCAACATAACCCGAGGATTTGATCTAGGCCTAACTATAAGCTTTATTAACAAAGGAAAGTTTTCATCCTAAAAGTAGAGACAGTGTCTGAATGCCTGTAGGTTTGTGAACCAAAGGCAGAGAGGACTCAACCTTTAAAGTTTCTCTGATGTATGGCTTCCCTCTATATGCACTTTTCCTTTTTATACCTAAAAATCAATCCCACTACGCTATGTGGAAGGATCCCTCAGCTTGAGCTGTAATCATGGATGCACAGGTATTATTTACCTTTAGTGTATAAAAGAGGCATGACACACCTGGATTATCTAATCTCTGGTGAAGACCCTACACTAAAGTCTTCCTTTGCATTTTTAAGTTTCACATACTTTAATTAACTGCTCTTCAGTTTGCGTGAATTAACAAAGAAGCCAGGGCTAAATCCTCCAGTACTGTGCCACACACTGAATTTAATTACAAGTAGCCCTAAATAGAAAAGCTGTCATAAACATTTAAGTTCAAATGACATCTGACATGATAAACTACAGCAGCGGGCTGCAACAAAACACTCGATGGATGATGCAGCTGTGCCACGTGTCAAAATGTGTTGACTGACATCCCTTTTAAAAAGACGACTCTGAGGCAAAAATGTCAGATTCTGTTAAAAGCATGCCGCCCTGACTCCTCAAATCAGAGACAGACATGTGCCTTCACGACAGGCAGCCCCAAACTAGGGAAAGTTTGAAAAAGCTTCCTCCTGCTCACTGTACCCTCTTCCCTTTATAGCCCTTACCCTGAAGGTGTCTGCCAGCACCTCCGCCCCTCTGCGGTTGGTGTGGGAGGAGATGCCGACAAAGAACTCCCTCCCCGTGAAGAGGATGTCGCTGCCCTCCAGCGTGGCACCTACAGAGTCGCTCTGCTCTCCGTCCATCTCCACCACAGTCAGGTTGAGCTCCGACATCACCCTCCTCACCGCCTCCACCTGAGGAAGGAATAAACTAGACTCAGTACGAGAGTTGGAAGAAAGCAGCTCAGGCAGGTGGTCTCCGTGTAACATCATCAGTTCTGTGTTTCACTGGCAATTAATATTTGCAATAAGAAGCTACAATAATTAAAAAAAAAAAAAAAAAAAAAACCAGACTGTCAGCTGAGCATTTTAAAATGTGCTTAAAAACAACAACTGTCTAATAAAAGAACATTTGCGTATAAATCCAGCTGTTGTATAATTTAGTCACTCATTTACATTCTGATTATTTACTGTTCAACTTTAAAGATTTCTTTCAAACAGCTGAGCTAGTTTCCCTCCTCTTGTTAATCCAAGTCTCTCTTCCTGCCATCTTAGAATAAGTGGAACTGAAACTGCTGGAGTAAGCAGTGAAACCGTTGCAAAACCAGATTTCTGAAAAATCATTTAAATAATTCTCGATCAGTTATCTTGGGTTTTTTTTATCATTTGTGGAAGCCACAATTGTAAATAAAAACTACATTTAGATCAACTGTGCAACAGAACAACTCACTTATCATGTTATGGTGACACATTTTGCAATACGCGCGACACTGCAAAACAACGGGGTGCCAGCAGTAGAACATCTGGGATGTGTTTGAGTGTCTACCAATGAAAAGGTTGTGGGATTGATCCCCGACTCCTCCAGACCGCTTGCTGAAGCATCCTTGGCCAAGATACTGAACCCCAAGTTGCCTCCAATGCATTCACTCGAGCGCGAGTGTGTGAGAATGTTAGAAAGAGCCTATGCTTAGATAAAAGTGCTGTATTAATGTGTCTGTCTGGGTGAATGAGACTTACAGAAGAAAGTGCATTGAGTGCTCAATGAGTAAAAAGGCGCCATATAAGTAAAAGTCCATTTACAACCAGATAATACATTATAATATCTGGAACTAAAGAAGAAAAATACTTCCAAAAAGGAACTGTGCATTTACTGTCACCCAAAGGGTCTGGGTGTTTATCTATTAATTTATGTTAATTAATCAGCTCTTTGATTTGCTTCCTGGCTTTTGATTCATTTTCTGTCCGAGCCATGTTAAGTTCCACTCTAAGAAACATGTTAAGAAAACATTAGGACATTAAAAAAAAAAAACAAACAAACTGTAAAATGGTGTCAACACTTATTAACTGGACAGGAACCATTTGAACAGCATCACTGTTGAGAAGTTTCTTTCCCTAAAGCTTTTTCCAGCAAACCTCCAAGTAGTTTAGGAAAACTACAAACTCTCTCTTAACATTTTTCTTAAAGTTGCGTTTTTAAGTCAGTCATAAAATAACATTTTGTTTATCAAACAGCCAAAAATAATAGCCGATGAATGGACTCGTAGCCAGGAAAAACCCTGAGATCTAACTACAGAAGTATAACTGGAACTTTGGACACTCCCAATAAGTCTGCCAGCATCTAAAACACCAAAAAGAAAACCAGTATCAATCAACCAATATCACTGTTGCTTAGAAACATTGTTTTCAGGAGTCTAGGGGGGATATGTCTGAAAGGCCAATGATCATAGCAACAAGGAACAACAAAAAAAATCAGTGAGACCATGTTACAAACAGCCCATACTATGTTTGTCAAGTTCATTTTTATACCGTACTCATACAAACCATTACCCAATGCTACATAGAAGATTAAGTGCACTCTGAAAGGCTTTTTCTATGCTGCATTACCTCGCTTTGTCTCTGCTCTTTGAAGGGCCTGGTGATGAGCGCCGTGTCTCCCTGGATGACAGCCACATCCTCTATCTTCCAGCTTTCTGGCAGCTCGGGGTCAGGGGGGATCTCGATCAGCTGCAGGCCCACCTTCTGCCTCAACGCTCCAGTCAGGCAACCGAACTGACGCTGAGCTTTGGCCAGGTCCACCGAAACCTCCCCGTTCTCCTGGCTGTCCCCTGCTTTCTTTCCAAAGGTCTCTGGAATGCCCCTCACCACGGCGTGGGTGAAATGGCCATAAGGGCACATGTTTGCCATGGTTTCAATAATGTGGTAGCAAATATTGGGGCTGTGCCAAAAATCTCACTAAGCTGGCTCTGCCAGGAGAGGAACAAGAGGCAATAAAAGGATGTGAACGTTTATGTGTTTCTGGTCTCCTCTCTTGCAGTCTCGGTATTATGAAGACGCTGGAGGAAAAATGCTCTAAACTAAGCTAAGCTTGTGAAGAAGTAGATCCAGGAAGAGAATGGGAAGCATCTTCAGCCTGGTCTTTGCCTCTTCTTTAATTAGGGACTTCACCATCTATTATCCCAAACATGGGAAGCAAATACTACCAGCCTAAGAAAGAAAAAGATGGATACATCAAGGCCAAGGCAAGAACAAACAAAAATATCAATTTCTATAAAACATTAGAGGGTCACATCCCTGCCTACATGCTTTCATTGGCACTGGACTAAAGTGAAATATAGTCCTAAAAATCTGTAATTTATTTACTCTGTAGGGGAATAAAAAAAAATAGTTTATCCCCCATTAAAACATCCAAGGACAGCTGAAATAATACACAGACAAAGAGCACGGCTGAAAGGAGACAAAGGAGCTTTGTTCAAGGTCAGATTATAAGGAATCATTATTCAATAGCCCTCCAATATGCTGCAAAGCCTCTTCATATCTGGCCAGTGGGTTAGATTTGGGACAATTGCCCTTTTATCATCTTCCCTGTAACTGGCAGGAGTCACCCACGGCGAGCTGCACACAGGATGTTTCTTAAATCTGCTTCATAACTTATGCAACAAGTGCTGGGCTTTGATGTTCACTTGACTTTGTTTTAAAAGGCTGCAGCACATGGAGAATATTAATGGATACTTGAACACCGAATATTTACAAACTACATTATAATCACTACTTATATGTTGAATTTTTCTACCTCGTATAGCTTTTGTTTGAGTTTTACCAGCTGTATTAATCAGTACAAACTTCAACCACAAGCAGAACAAAACATCCTGAGGCTGTGGGGCTGCAGGAGTGCACCGCCCCAGCAACTCAACTCTTCCAAAATACTTTTCATGATGTTCCCCATCTTTCTTAAATCGGCAAAATAACAGCAACACCCTCACCCCGAGTCGCACAAATAACAAACAGAGCTCTACACTTAGGCCTGCTCACCTGTTTTAGGTCCCGGGTATCCGCTTTCGTCGCCGTTTTCCCTCTATTTTAATTTAATTTCCAAAGCAGCCGAGTTCCCGTTACTCTCCAGCTCCTTTCTCTCTGCCGAATGGCTATCGCGTCAAGACGGCGAACGTGAATTGGCATGTTTCCGGTGGCAAATTTCAAAATAAGACAGCATTGGTTTACATGAACTGTGTCGCGTCGTTTGTACCATATTGCAACTGCTATACAAAAAATAGCGCGCGATAAAATAGCGCTCGATAGTGTGTATACACTATGTATACACTGTAACTGAAAAAAATAATAATTTGCCAACGGTCGTGCTCATAGTTTTTAACGCCACCCCCAAGGTACTTCCGGTCTTATTTTCGACCATTGACGCTCACTTCCCCCACCACCTCCCCTCCCCATCCCCCACACGTCCTACCCGGATTCAATCAGCGGTGATTTATCGCAGGCGCTGCTGTTCTGGCGCTTGCACTTTTAGTGGCAACTGCACTGCAAAGTTACTACCGTTTTAATTTAATTTACACTGGTTTCGAGTTCGTTAACAAAACAGAATTTAATTTGTTTGAAGTTAATATAAACATATTCTTAATTTGTGAGTACATTTGTGACCGCCGTTACTGCTAACCTACGTAATTGCTACATTTAGAAGACTTGTTCAACCTATCTGGTGTTACTAACAAATGCGTAATTTAGACTAGTTTAATATAACATTAGGCGGATGCCTTGTTGAAAAATGCCCAGAAAATTCCTATTTTTGCCACACTGGTGCTCCTACGCATTAAAACACAGAATTAAAGTCAGATTTTTCTAGGATTATGGACTCCCCCTTTCCCCCTCTCAAATCCCTGCTGTAATCCTGATGAATTGTTTATGAAGGGTCAGGCTTGTGCTTTATATACAAATATAAATGTGGTCTGTCTGAAAGCGAATCAAAGATTTATATGCTGAATTACTGAGCCATCTTTGTTTTTATCCTCCTGACATTTTACTTATTTACTTATTTATAAATAAATAAATAAATAAATAAATAAATAAAATAATCTGGCTTTCCTCAAAGTGGGTCAGTGATGTGATTACTGGATTAACAGGTTGTCCCATCAGACACCCCACCTCTGAAAAACTACCCATGATTTGTGTTTATAATTAATAATCCAGTATTTCTAAAGAAACTGGTGATGTTCAGAGGTGATGTAAACATGCAGGCCTTCTGTAAACATGTGACTTTTCTGTCTAACAAGGCTGCACAATATTTCCTTCTAGTGACTAGATTGAGTTACTGCAGAAGGAGGACCAGGAGCCAAATTTTCTGCTGCAACGAGGAAGACGAGGGAAGCTGCAGGAGCTCGTCTCCAGTGTGTAGAAGAGGCTGAAAATGAGAACCTGGATGTAAATGGCAGAATGAATAGATGTAAAAAAGGGTGGAGGATGGGAGGTAGAGGGCACAGACAGACAGGATTAAAGAACACCATCTGTCCACTGAGATCCTTCAGCCAGGACACACAAAAAAAAACATCCCCATCAAATGCAGGATTAACACTGTCTGCACGAACATGAATGGACTCAGTTGTGAGTCGCTTTAGGCTTGTATTTTTAAGTTTTACAACATGAATGCTTGCTTATTTGAACAAAAGAAAAGGTCCTTTAATCCCATAATACTTTTATTTGGCACTAGTTCTGGGGATTCTTTTGTAGGTTATATGCAAATCATTTAATAAAGACACAAATGGACAGAAACAAAGTCACACCAAACTCCATGCAAAAATCTATTGCTTTAGCAGCAAACATACATGCCTCCAAAATGCATCACAGGTCATAAACTCTCAATGTCATTTATGCCTCAGCAATGCCCATGGATTATTTCTGCATACAGTATTGCATCCAGACAAAAGTAACTGAAAAAATACAAGAGAAATGAACAAAAACCTCAATATTTCCAGGAAGATTTTTTTTTAAGCTTGTAATTAATCAACTTGTAAAGAGCTTATTCAGTCTGAGCCCACTCGTTTCGCTCCATCACAAGACTTGCTGTCAGCAGACCGTCCTGCTTGCTGCCCTCACGTCTCCCATTAGGCCCTGAAGGATAATTTGTTTAAACAGGCTCGCTGTGGAGCTCACTGACCCGCTGTCTCTGAGTTGCTGGCTTTCTCCCTCTGTTTGTCTGCTGACTCTTTCTGCACCGTGCTGACTTTATCGGTGCTCATCTTTTCTCTACAGCAGCTGCTGTCTCATGCAGTTACACATAATGTCTTTTCTTTTATAAATGGCTCAGATAGAGGCCAGAATTTCTAACTAAACAAAACTGGCACAAGAATTATGGAGCTAGATGACAAAGAGTATTTAACAAAACAAAATCACTAAAAACTTTAAGTTTTCACATTATATTTCTTAAGAAACCCTTTCCCCCCTTTTTATTGCAGTTTTTTTCAAATGTTTTTTTTTTAGCAGTTGCATGCTCGCAAACCGCGCAATTTATGACACTGCACATAAAAATAGATTACAACTTGACAGGAAAATTAGGCTTTTAAAAAAACCTATTTATACACACAAGTACAGAAAGAAAACAACCAGTTTATAACTAATTATATCCACACAATGGTCCATAAAACTGATTTTGAGCTAACTAAATCAGTCCTGCAGGGTTTTATTGTGGGACCTGCATTAACTGTGAAAAACTTTTCTAAGGTAAGAACTCTCAGACAGCTTCCTTGTGCAATTAAAAGTAGCAGGCAGTTTGCTAATCATCAAATGGACTTGGTAACTGATCATCAGCAACTGTAAGCATCTCTACAAAAAGCTGTTTTGGCAGTTTGCTGGTCTGTTGGTCAGGTGTGTCTTCTGTGTGAATGCGGAAAATTCACCCCAAGGTCAGAAAAAACCCACAAATTCCTACAGAGTCCTGACTGAGGACAGCACAGTTTAGGTTTGCAAAGTTACATCTGAACAAATCAAAAGATTTCTGGATCAATGTCTTTGAATCCAGAGTGGAGATGTTTGGCCATGATGCACAGGGTCACAGGGTCATACTAGTTGTGAAGGATGGTGGTGGAAGGATGATGAGTTGAGCTTGTTTTGCAACCCAACTCTTCTATATACCAAAGTATTAAAGTAGTAAAATATGAGGCCATTGCTCTGACAGCTAAAGCTTGGCTGAAATTGGGTTGTGCAAGAGGACAATGATCCCAAGTACAACAGAAAGGCTAGGTTTCCCAATGGGTTCACCTGAAACCTTGGCTGATTGTGACCCACATCTGTTTTCACACCTTGGCTCGTGTGATATAGGCGGTTCATTACCCTCTTGGAGGACACTCCCATAGGGCTTAAAAATCTGGGACTCTTTACCATTTGCTCTTAGAACTGAAGAAGCTTCTTGACGAGAGGTGAAATGTCTTCAAGAAAATTAAAGAAGTCCAGACGCTTTGCTTTCCAAACTCCTTAGACAACAGAAAGGCTAAAAACAAAACAAAACAAAAATGAATCAAGGTGATGAAATAGCCCAGTCAGCGTCCAGACCTTAACTTGACTGAAATGCTGCGGCAGAACCACAAGAGAGACAAATGCCTGCAACCAGCAGTCACTGAATGAATGAGTGAAGATGTTGTTCTTGTCAAAAGCTTCCTGAGCATCGTTAGTATATAAACACTCACCAAATTCACTACATAACTCTTCATTTTCCCACTGCCTGTAACCATGCTGTCCACAATTAACTCTCCAGATTGAATTAGAAGTTTCAGGGAGGAGTTCGCCTCATGACAGCACAAATCAGCAAAGACTGAGGGAAAAACTCAGGTGACACGCGGGTGCTTGCGATATAAAGAGGCGCCTTTTATCAGATCATTGGGGACATAGAGAGAAACAGAGATGAAAATAAATGTAATTTGCAAATGAGCTGGGGGACGCACCACATAAACTAGTTAGGGAGTCATAACGCCCTGGGACAAGAAGTGTTTAGAAAAATCCAGCTCGAAACATCAACCAAGGGACTTTTAAGGAAGCATCATGCCTCGTTCACAACTTTTATTTATTCTCATGTGTTGTCTTCCTTTGGCAGGTATGTAAAAACATTCAATTGTCTTCAGGTGCTTTTGTAATGTAAGGGAAAAAAATCTAATACTTTTAAATACTGGACATCCATTACTTAAGTCAGTGAGAGGGACAAAGTCTGCAGAGCTTGGTCGGTGGAAACAAAACTCTGTGATGTTTGACATTTTTCTGCATGCACATTTGAGATTTGACTCTCTTAAAGCTGACATATTTTTAATGCATTTTAGTGCAAGATCTCCTGTTACAGGAAAAATGATTAATGATGGATGCTAACATGCTTGATTTGATGAGTTCAGGTATACTTTTCACATAAAGAGAGTTTTATCCCTTTAATTAGGAAGCTCTTTTGGCCAGGAAATACTACACAGAGGAGATTTGTAGAGTATGCTTATATTCCACTACTGTAGTTTGATTCAAATAGTGTAGATTGTTGAAGAAATCCGTTCAAGTAAGTTCAGTATGTTGGATTTGTTGTCGGTAGTGTTTTTAATTTTTCTTATGTGACTGGTAAACATGAAATAAGTCATTTAGTCCAGTACACATTTTGTCTAAGACTTTGAAAGTTCAAGCACTTTTTCTTGTTTTTCAGTGGTGGAAAGTACAAATTTAACACGGTAAATCGAGCGGTTATTATATAACACTTTTCTATTACACAGTGTTTTATACACACTGCAACAAAGAGCAACTTGGTTCAGTATTTTGCTCAAGGACGTTTTGGCACTGAGACTGAAGCAGCTGCCAATCAAACCACCAATGTCCCAGTTAGTAGATGGCTCGCTGTACCTGTTGAGCTACAGTCACCCCATAACACACTTACTTTAGTTACAATTTTAGTTACATATTTAAACTTTATCGTACACAACATGTGAAGAGTTTAAAAGGTGCTGACTTGAGTTAAATGTAAAATCTACAAGTACTCTGATATTTTTAAACTAAAAGTGAATTATAAACAAACATTTCATATTTATTCTCCAATGTCAGGCTTTTTTTCTAATGAGTTTGACTATTTTAATTTAAAGTTTACTAGTTTTACTCATAAATATAAAATAAACTCAAAATGAAATATTATCATAACAATAACTTACTTAACTACAAGTGTACATCTTTAATCATATACTCAATAACTCTGGTGAAGGGTGGTAGAACATGCAGAAGGAAGGACACATGACTTCTGCTTACGCTGTCTTAAAGCTGCTTGCCAATGTAATTTTGCAGTGCGCTGTTTGCATATTTACATTTGTTGTGTACATATCGTACACTTGGAAATACGAAAAGTAAAGAGAGTGTAACCTTTAACCCATTTTACAGTGTTTTTACTGTTGTCTTATGAATAGAAACATGTTGGCATCATAAAATGTATAGCTAGTAAATGAAAAGTACTTAGAGTTTCTGTTATGACAGTTGTCTGCCGAGTCGGTGATAGAAAAGTAATTATCAGATGTTGCTGAAGTGCAGAGAAGCCAATGTTAGAAGAGAAGTTAAAAAGTGTCTCAATTACAAAGATATTCCACCAGGGGGCACCAACAAGTCTATTTTTCAACATCAAAATATGCATTCATCTTCTACGAAACAATTTGGCTTCTTTTGGAAACAAACATAATTGCAGTTACTGTTAGTTCACAAATATCATCTTTCAGAGCCAAATCCTTTATGTTGTGACTGTCAGCTGATACAATATTGGAGTTTTAAGCTCTTGTTGTTGCAATCCCTGCCAGAGCTGTACAGCTGACAGTGCCTAACAACCACCGTTTTTGCCCCTCAGCCTGTTTGCGCTGTTACACCTGTATGTTTCCATCCATCTCTCCTCTGGACTGCTTAAAGTTTCCTGTGGAGTGTCCAGCTGGCCAGCGCTGCCTCTCCAGCGTAGCGACAGGAACACGAGGTAAGAGCCAGATTTGTCTGCATTTATTAGATTAGATTAATTTCAGTGAGTCTCAAGCATGATGGCCACAAACTGGAAAATAAAGCCTTATTTTATAAAAGATTTGTGAGAAACATTTTTAGAAATGCACATTACAGTGAACAGACAATAAAGACACCATTAGGACCAAGTCTAAAGTTCTTTTTATAAACAAAACCTTTCAGCTTGTGGTCACATATCATACATAAACTATACAATAAGGACTGTTTCATGTCTTTGTAGGCTGCTCTTTGAACTGCTTCTCAGGGCCTTGTCTTTCGTCAGTGACCTAAATGTGAAAACAAAACCAGGTGAAAGAATGACTCAAACTTCTGTACCATTTTCTCATCAGGCCGGTTGTCAGCTCAATAGCACCCGTGATGTCAAATTATGTCTAAAAATAACACTCCGGGCTATCTGGGTGAGGCAAAAATGATCACCATGTCTCATCAGGGGACAAAGTTCCCACAATTACTCTCAGTTTGCAGTATGAGTAATTTTAAAACAATCCCAGTGAGGAACTAGTTAAATTTGCTTGCTTGATGAAGAGTCTGAATGAATAATCTGCTGTCTCTTGTTTTACTGTACTTCGTTCTACTGCAGTTTTTGGACTCTGCTATCCTTTCCGTTTATATCTTGTTGTTTTTTGAGTTTTGGATTTCCTACACTCACCGGCCACATCTTGCTAGTTCCTTGCTTTGATCTCCTTTTGCTGTTCAAACTTCCTTAAATCTCTGTGTCATAGATTCAGCAAGCTTTTGGAAAAATACCTCAGACATTTTGGTCCATATACGCTATATTGTCATGATAGCGTCGCACAGTTGCTGTAGATTTGTCGGCTAAACATTCGTGATGAAAGTCGCTCGTTCCATATGAGTAATGTGAGCTCGGTGTCATGTTCAAAAACCAGTTTGAGATGATTTGATGACATGGTGCATTATCCTGCTGGGAGCAGCCATCAAAACATTGGTACACTGTGGGCATAAAGGGATGGACGTGGTTAACAACAATACTCGGGAACAATATGGTGTTTAGACAATAATGAGCTGGTAAAATATCTCCTACATTACTGCACCACCGCCAGCAGCAACCTGAACCATAAATACAAGGAAAGATGGATTCCTTCAGTGTAGCCTCTGGTCTCTATGAGGCATTTTCACCCAGAGAACTGCTGCTCACTGAACAATTGATCTTTTCCGGCCATTCTCTGTAAACCTTGCAGATGGCTGTGTGGGAAAATCCCAGCAAATCACCAGTTTGTGAAACACTAAGATAAGACTGCCTGGCACCAACAACTATGTCACTTACTGCCATGCAGTTGGCTAATTGGAGATTTGCATTAACGAGCAGCTGGACAGGTATACCTAATGAAGTGTCTGGTGAGTCTATATTGCTAACATCCAGGTGCAAAAAAAAATAAATCAAGAAGTAAAACTAATCAGGCATTCAAAGTTTTCTTTGCTTTTACTGTTTTTGAAGCATTCATAATGTTAAATTTAAAACGATCAAAAAATGTATAAAACACAATACACTTCAGTATCTATTTAAGCATAAACACATCATATCATCTCAATTAGTCATGATTCCATTTATGTTATATAACAATTAATTGAAAAATATATTGGATTTGCTGAGAAATGAGGATATAAAACGTCATTCTGTTATATTTTGGTGGGAAAGTTTGACAAAACAGATTTATGAATTCATGAGTTCTAGTTAAACGCATGCTTTGTTAGGTTGTTGTGACCTTTGACATTCAGATTTTCACAAAATCAGATCATCCTTGAGTCCAAATAGATGCAAATTTCCAAAACTGATAGACATTTGGAAACATAATACTTAATCAGTGCATCAAATATTTTTTTCCTCGCATTCGACACTTGCTGAGTGAACTAGTCCTAAAAAGGCACAGTGTCCTGTGTCAAGAACCATTAAAAGTGTAGAAAAAGGATTGAATGCTCTTTAAATTCCATGCGAATAATAATAACAATAATAATATCCTTCTACTCCTCTGCTCTCACAGGCCCACTACAGCTGACGTTGTACGAAAAAAGCTGCGCAGTTGCCTCCCAGTGCGACGTGAGTGGAGAGAAATACACGTCAGGGGTCTCCTTCAACTACACCAACGTGTGCTGCGATACCGACCTGTGCAACGGTGCTGTGTCCGTTACTGCCCCCAGCTTGGTGGGAGTGGTGCTCTGCCTGCTGCCTGCGCTCGGGCTCCTGCTGGCCTGAGCAGCAGACGAGACGATGCAGTTTTATCCTCGATAAAAAAAAATTTTTAAAAAATGAAACACATCGGTCACCGACTGATTTACTATGAAGATATTTTATTGGGACATTAATAAACCCTACTTCGTAAGATGTTTAAAGTACAAAATACATTTCAGCTGCTCTAGTAGTTTGCCTTGATCGATGATTTAAGCCTGCTGATTGTGTGTCAGCACTTTTACTTTTGATCAAGTGGACTTTGAAGTTTAGATGTTTTTGACTACATGATGGCAAAATGAGTGGAAAAAAAGACAATAAAAGGCTAAAATAGTAAAAGATGGTTAAGAAACAAAGCAAAAAGCACAGTTTGGATAACAACGGACATGGATGACATATATATATATATATATTCTTTAAAAAAAGTTAAAACAGTTAATTGAGAAACAAACTACGCATTTAATGATTTGTCTAATTTAACATATTAAGTGGTCCCTGAAATTACATCAAGTCCTACAGTCTTCCACACACGGAGAGAAGAAATACTACAATATATTAGCACTAAAATTATTCAGACTCTGTCCCTTTAAACATCATTCCACTTTAAAAAATAGATAAAATCCAACAATTCAGTCAAGTACAATGCATCAGCTACTTGATCAATACCAAGCATGTCATTGCGGAGGGATTACAACCTCTGTAGAAAAATAATTGACTTTGCTCCCGCTGTTTTTCTAATAAAGTTTAACTCAAGATTGTCTTCTTAAATATGCTTAAATTGCACTTAGGTTTATTTTGTCAATGAGTTTCACCCCTGATCTGAGACACACAACAAAGATGTTTACAGCACAAACTGTAGCCCGGTCCACACGTACATGGATGTTCTTTTAAAACTGGAATTTTTTTGCTTTTGTTCAGAAAAAAAAATCGTAACACAAAAATGCAAAAAAGAAATACGTCAAGGGTGCTTGACATAATCGCAACAAGTGACCCTAACTGTACAGGAATGCTGGCCAATTAGAAGCCAGCCTGTTGTCAAAAAAGGAAATAAAGGCGCACACCTTTTCCTCCTGTTTCCCTATTGCGAGTCTTCACTGTGGACGGAGGTTTTAAAAAGCTTCCATTTAAGTTTTTTGTGTGAAAAAAAGGGAAAAAACACAACTCAGAAATTAATTTTTACTACTGCACATGTAGACAGGGCCCATCCCTGAGAGCTCTCTATAAATGTTAGTTCATTATTTCCTTCATAAGCTGCTCCTAAAGTCAGAAAAGGCGTGCTGTCCAGTAGTTCCAGTTCCTCGCAGCGAGTTCATTTCAAGTCACTTAAACAGGAATTTCAGACCAGAGGACTTCCTCCCAGGAGTGGATTAGTCCACAGGGCATCTCTGAGGACACAAGGCTTTTAAAGGATCAGGCTGGTTCAGGTATATTTTTACTGTCAGCAAGTCCCGTGAAAACACTAACAATGCATTTAACCTACAACTGGTTACAAGGCCAAAATTCTTGGTTTCTATCAAAATGTAGACGACATTTGGACAGGAGATACTAGCAGTTGACGTGGTGCACTAATCTCGAAAAGTAAATCCACATATTATAAATGTTCAGACTCTATTTATATCAACCTGGTTGTTTTATAACTGTAGCTATGTTGATGCTTATCCTTCCCCTTTTTTTAAAAAAATGTCTATGTTTAGCATGTTTTATAGCACTTTAACAGGCTCATGGTAACTGCAGACTATTAAAAAATAGATGTAACTTCATGGTCTGAAGAGTGAAACCAATAGGGAAGTGCCTTAAATGGCCACCCTTTTTCATGGCCATTGGGGTTGGACTTCTCTGGTTGAAAAGACCACCTATGGGGTAACAGCCTTTGGAGTTGTCCTGTGTAAACAGTTTCTGGAAGAGCTTAAATAGGCTGAGTTACTCATTTTGGATCATACTGAATAAGAGAGAGTGGTTCAACAGCGTAGCAGTTAACATAATCGCTTTACATGTGAAAGATGCACCGTTTGAGAATAAAACCCAGCCTCAAGGGACTATAAGCTAATGTAGTCCCTATATGTGTCAGGTTTGAAGGAGGTGAAAGTACCATAAATGGATAAAACAAAACATCGGGTCCATTTTATACATTTTGGTCAGTCCAAGGTGTATCTAGGATGCACATTGGCTAACGGCAATGACAAATTATTGACAAGTCATAAGCCAATGAATGCAAAGTTTCAAATCGGCTCTCGTTTGTCACATCCGGTTTCAAAAGATTGTTTAAAAAAAAAGGAAATGATGTCATGGTGGCTACAAACACCTTTTATATAATCCGTAGTTTTGGCTTCTTTTGGTAGCATTCAATGGCAATGCTTACACAGTGCTTACACCAGATAAGCAGTAGAAGTAATTCATCGTGTTAGCAAGAAGACTAAATGTTATATTTCGTGCAGCTGATTTAATTTGTACAAAGCGTTAGAATTAGAAAGCGTTTTCATGGGAGTAACTGACAGTGAGAAACACAAATACGCTTCATCCTGCACCTCCTTCAATACCCACTGGGCAGCACTGAATAAATGACTGGCAATGGGCCCTCACAGCGGATCACATAGACGCTTGGTAATCTTAAATAATCCTTCACGCCTGCTGTGTGGGAGCACAGAAAGGGGAAGCCCGCCTCTATTGAAACAGTTTCCTGTCTCTGTAACTGTTTTCAGCTCTTCAGCGAGACCCGGTATGCACCCCTTTCCTCTCTGAGGTGCACTACAAAGAATAAGCAATCTAACACTTAGACAAAACTTGGCTTTTAATTAAAGGATAAAAAAGATTTTGTACTGTAAAAAGGCCTTGTACCCTCAGTAACGAAATAAAGTCCATGTGAAAGGCTCAGTACAAAAGACTCTTTGGCAGGTGATCTGGAACTGATATGCAAATTTCACTTCCTTAACCAGAGAAACGAGAGCTGAATCTGCCTGGGGGAAGCCTGCAACGTTACATATGAAAAGTTTGATCTGTCAGGCAGCTTTGTGTCTGTTGAAATTACTACCAGGAAAAATAACAAAAAAACCAAAACATACTGTAGCAACTGTCTTGAAGAAGAAAGGAACAAGAAGCGTCAGTGTGTATCTGCTCATGGTGAAACTGTACATAAGCAGGGCTGTAGTTAGACGAGTGCGATGACGATGTGGATGTGCGCTCCTGCGAGCAACGTGGTCGGCAACCGGAGAACGTGACCCGTGAAAGAACCAATCGGAGGAGGAAGTTTAATGGGGTTAAAAGTTGCACTACTTGCATGTAATTGCTTTCACTTGCGCTTTCCCGAGCTTCCTTGTTTCCCTTGCTGATGTAAACCGACCCAGTTTCAGGTGAGGAAAAACAATGTAAACTAGCGCCAACACTGCGAAAGGTGATACTGGCGTATAAGGGTGCAAGAAATTAACCTGCAGGCGTAACAAAAGATTCCTGCAGCGCTCCAGTTTACAAAGAAAAGGATCGACCATGCTGCTTGCAGAGTGAATATTCATGAGTGTGTGTGTGTGTGTGTGTATTTTGTGCTTTCCTATGTTGCTCTGCTGGTATATTCAGAACATGTAACCCCCTGTTCTATCCCTACTTGAGAGCTTTAGCTACAGAGGAGTAGGCGAAGTAGATCTCCTCGTCAACCGGGCAGGTGGAAGAGAACTCCTCCCTTGCATAGGCAGCGTTCAGGTACCTCCAGAGGTTTGTCAGACTCTGAGGGATGGTGAATTGTCTGTATTTCAAGCACACCACCTGCAGAGATAGAGGGCGGGAAAAAATAGGCATAATTACAAAAAAACAAAGCAAAGCATTGACTCATTCTTATAACCCATCATCCTCATGCTGCACTGCTTTAAAAATCACAAGATCACCTTCACGATGTGGAGCTTAGGCAGCAGGTTGCAATCAGCCAGAGTGAGCGCCTGGCCATCCAGGAAAGGGCGTGACGAGGAAGTGAGCTCATCGGCGCTATTCTCGTCGATCTCATCAGGAAGTGGGGAGCCGAGGTAGTCGTCTAGCTTCTTCAGAGCCTTCAGGAGGCCTTTCTCTAGATCTGAGCACATGGGCACACACAGAAAACACTCAAGCATTAAGTATAAAGAGAGGTGTCTTGATATAAATATATTTAAACCAGCAGCAGAGACGAGGTAGGAAAAGCTGCACACAAACATCAGCAGGTGACGTGTTTACACTCAGAGCCTAATGTTATTAACAGAAGCTCCCTGCTGATTTTTAGCCCATCTGGGAACTGACAGAAGCAGCTCAGCACGATTTTAAACCAGGCACTACTCAAACATTTACTTTATTGCACCATAAGTCTGAGTGGAGCCGACTTACTTTCATTGGTCTGAGGGTTTGAGTTCTTGACGTAGGCAGAGAACTTGGAGAAGACGTCCAGGCCTGCCGTGTTGGACTCTGGGTTACGAGCAGCCAGACGAGGATACCTAGATGTCCAATCACATCATAGATCACATCAAGATATAAATCTTCAAGCGATTCGTGTTGATGTGCAAGAAGTCAACAAATGCATTTCCAGCCAACGGTTTATTTCGTTATCATTAATCTATTCATTGCTGTATCTACAACGGAAACACCTGCAAAAATGTAAAATTAGATAATTTAATCTCACAAAGATTCAGATTTAAATCTTGTGGTTTGGAGTTGGCGTGCAGGGCCTACTTTTTCAACTTGTCTACAAAATGTTGCCTTTTTCCTGCAAAATTCAAAACAATCAATCTGTGCTCAAAGCCTCCAGAGACATCTCTTTGTGCCCAACAAAGTTGCAATATTCAGATCATTATCAGATCAAACAAGACAGTTTGTGTTATCTGTATCAGCACTTCAGAGATGAAGGGAAAGATTACTTTGGAGGGCAGAGATGCTCTTCCAGGAACTCCTCAATCTTGTTGGTGTCAGTTTTCACCTCGCTGCCGTATAACAGGAAGGGAGGCTGAGCACCCGGTGCCAGGTCCTTCAAGATGTCTGGCTTCCTGAAAGCGGGACGGAAAAAGTCCAGAAGGCAGATGGAGTAGAGAGTGAGTCAGAACAGAGAAAGACAAAAAAGGGAAAAAAAGGAGTGGAAAGATTTCCAACCGCAGGAAATTACCCATGTGAGCAGCTACAATGTGGCCAACTTTCACCTAAAATCAAAGCGTGGCAGCTTTTTATCTTTTAATGAATGAATGAAATACCCCAGGCTTTTTCAGTGCCAGCTTCACTTGGGGCCATTAAAACATTAAAAGTGTAGGCGAATGTTCCCTTGTTGCGCCAGCATTAGTGAGAGAGACAGAATAAACAAAAGTGGCCATACAGAGCGTGAAGGACGAGTGCTTTCACCTCTTCATATCCACTGTGGTAACGTCAAAGGTGACTCCCTTAAGCCACAGCACCATAAAGAGACGCTGAGAGAAAGGACAGTTGCCGATGCTCTGACCATCGCTTCCTGCCTGGGAAACAAAAACAGAGAATATTACAATATTACAGTAATGTTTCCATCTATTTTTCTAAGACTTTCCTCCATAAAATGCTGGAAAATCTGCTGTGTTTCTTCAGGTCAGCGATCCAAAAACGCAAATAAATGCCTTAAAATCTTGGCCGCACATTTGGTTACAGTACGCATACTGTTGATGCACCTTAGTTTTTCACCCTTAAACCAACCTGCAAAGTCAGCACACAGGATGTCTGAGTCAAAACAAAGAGAAATATACATCACCACACATCACATTTCCTCAAAGAACTCGAATCGACAACTGAAAGTGAAGGCGTTTGAGCAGGATGGAATAGCTGCTGTTAAACAAAAAAGAAATTCGGGGTTTTTTGGTATGATGGAAATAAAGTTCTAATTTCTGCCTTTTAAATCGCAAATGTACAGAGTTTATCTGCTTGTCTGATTTGTCTTTACAGCAGTAATTTTCCCACTATCGGATAAATTGGAATATAATTATTGCATAAATGAAACAAACTATGATTATTTAGTCTGCACAAGGCTGTTTTAAACACTATAACACAGTTTGTAGACCCAATCATTTCTCAGCTCCAAAAACAATCCCCAAAATGAAACTACCTGAAGCTTGAGATGCAGCATATGTTACTTCTGTTACTGCCGAGCCATACGGCAAATTTTGGTATCGATACTTAAGTAAATATTGGGTAAATATTGCCAATACTAGTACTGATACTAGGGGAAAACAAGGCATTCTGAAGAAATTAAAATTTTTAGAGCAACAAAACACACCTTTTGGTTTTCATGTCTGAAATGTAAACGTGGATTGACCCACCCACCCCTAACTTCTTTACTGCTGTAGGGCGTGCTAGTTTTGATCTTTAGGATCTGAAACGTGGCTCATCAGGCAACCGCCTAGTGTTGTTAACCACAGTTCACGAGAAACTACATTTAAGAGGTCAATTTAGAGAAGTTACAACAGCATCTTTCACCCTGAAGAAGGTGGGGGTGGGAAGCACAGGGTGGTGCACATGTTCACACAGAGAAATCTTTATGTGTGAAGTGAGCCACACTGGTTAGTATGTTACTGCCTGTTTTTGGCTCAAAGAAAATGGGATTAGCCTGCCTGGCCAACATACTAAATATAGACTAAAGTCGGCTGGCTGTTATCTTAATGTGCGTTTAATTAGATTAGCCTTACAGTGGTTTATAAGCCCGGTGAGTCAGCAGACGGGGGTCTGATTGACGTCACTATTACAACAAATACTGCGTGAAAATAAAAGATAAAACAAAGGTAGCTTGAAGTCAGCTGTAAGGACCGTGCAGGTGTCAGAGACAGGTTATCAGCATGTAATAGAAAACACACTGAGCGTGCTGATGAAACAATAAGATAAAAAAAAGCCCGAGCAGACCGGCTCAGCCCACTAAATAAACTCAGGGCACATAATGTCGCCCGTGTGCGCGTCACTCTCTGGGTGTGATGCTTTCCTTCTCTGCGCCCATTCACTCTCTTACCTTCACGAAAAGTTCAAGTTTGGGCTGACCGGCGTCGCTCATCTTCACCCGTAGCTGCACGAAACCTATAAAGAGAGAGACACGGGCGTTAAAAAGTTTCTAACGCGAAGCCCGATCGAGCGCAAAGTCGCCTTTTCTGAGCCAGAAACAACCGCAAACGCGGGGAGCCCAGCCCATCTTCCGCTACACAATACTAAATACTAAAGTGACAAACGCGACAATGTAGCAGCTCCACGGGCGTCACAAAGTAAATCCACACATGCCGTGCGCTCCTGAAGCTCAAAATTCACATAATTTGGAGTCAGTAGAGCTTCTAACCTCACAGTGCTCGAAGTTCTCGTTGCCTGTTGCTGGTTTCTCCTCCCAGTTCTGCTGCGGAGTGCGTGTGTGTGTGCGCGCGTCCGTTGGCTGCAGCGACACAATCATCATCATCATCATCATCATCCTCCTCCTCCATTTCCTGGTGGTGCATGACGGGCTGTACTCTCAGCGAATAAAAGCGGCCGTCGTATGAAGGAGCGGTCTGTTTATTCACGTTAAAGAACGTTTCTTTCAAAGCAGCAAATAAAAGCACAGAAAAGTCACCGCGGAGAGCCGAGCTTGGAGCAGGCGGCGTGTTACGTAACCATGAGAAGAGCACTTGGCAGCTTTGGGGAGACGCGTTAAAGGCACTGGTTATGGGGCGGTGGCTGATGTGTCTGACTGTCCCATATACAGTTAGGGTTGTAGTTTTTGTAGTTTTGCCTCTGTGCACAACCACAGCGGATTTTTATATCAAACCTTAAACATCTGATTAAAATGCAGACTTTATCAATAGGAAAAGCCGTAAAACTTACGAAAATACAGTTAAAAGTCCAAAAGTTGATCCCCTCTTTCACATTTTTCAGCCTTCCTTGCGATCGCCTGCCAAAAACTGATTTCCAATGTTTCCGCGTGTTTTTTATGTGTAACATCTTTATGTATGTTGGTAAATAGACTTCGGTGAAAAGGTTTACAGATTTTTTATATATCAAATTTAAAAATGGCCTGTTTTCAAGTATCTTTATAACTCTGTGTTATTGTACTTACATTATAACCAATCGTGTCCTTTGTCCACTTAAAATATGTTTACAGAACTATTGTTATATTTGTTGCAATTCTGCTGCCCTCTCGACCAGATTACTCTTAAAAAAAGACATTTTTAATGTGAACGAGATTTTTTAACTGCATAAATAAAGGATATATAAAAATCCCTGCCAAAAAACTGATTGCGGCTTTTACTTTGTTACAGGAATGTTGTTTGTGGGCCAAGATGACTTGATATCATTCATGAGGGATACATTTGACATGTTTCACATATTATAGACCCGCGGCCTTATGTTTCAACACCCCTGGTTTAAACAAACGTGCTTAGTTGATGCTCAGTCTCTGATTTTAAGAGGCTCATACATTATTGTGCTCACATTGTTAAAAACTGCAAAGCATGCTCGTGACTGAGTTGGCCATTGCAAAAATATCCCAGTTCTCTGCCTTGAAAATTTCCTGGGTTTCTTTAGTAGTTTGTTTTGGCTCATTAACAATTTTCACTGTGAAGCCTGTCTGACCTGTTTTTCAGCACTTGGCTCAATCTGAGCAGAGAATATAGCCCATCCCGTTCCTTCTATCAGTAGTCACATTGTCAATAAACACAAGTGATCTGGTTTCACTGACAGCCATGCGAGCCCATGACATAATAATACCTCCACCATGTTTGACAGATTACTTGTGGTGTGCGGATCGATATTGAAATATCGATTCTTCCGATACCAGTAATTTATGTTCTACATCGATATCGATATTTTAGTACTTTGGGGTAAATTTGTAGTTTTTCATTAACAGGAACACCATGGAAAGAAACTATGTCATTCGGATTGTCTAAATTGGAAGGAACTACTTCCTCTTGCCTTTCACAGTCATATGCGAACTATGGCTGTATGAATGTATCAGCCCCTGGCCTGCGCACTCACGCTGAGCGTGAACGGAGTCATGTGTGGACGTATTTTACCTCCACAAACGACCGAGACGTGGTTTGCGATACATGTGGCAAGACAGTGAGGTGTTGTGGCAACACCACTAACCTCGTCAAACACCTCAGAGTAAATCATATCACAGAATATGACGAGCTTATGTTGAGGCGAACTGAAGGAGCTGGTGGTGGACTTCAGAAGGGGTCAGCACAGAGACTACAAGCCCATTATCATCAATGGAGCTCCAGTGGAGAGGGTGCAGTCCTTCAAGTATCTTGGTGTCCACATCTCCTCAGACCTGACATGGGCTGCCCACATTCAGGTCCAGACCAAAAAGGCTAGGCAGCGCCTGTATCACCTGTGTGAAGGACCAAAAAGCTCTCCAGAGAGTGATCCGTACAGCCACAAGGGGCAGTACCCTCCATGGAGAAGGAGGCTAGAGGGCAAGATCAAAGTAGCACGGAGGGAGGTTAGCCAACTAACGGAGTTGCAGAAAGGTGCGACAAAGAAGGTGCATAAGAAATACAGCAAGCTGTCCATACCTGAGGCCTTG